TATCATTGTCTTCAACAAGTCAAAAATATTATTTTCTGTAACAAGAAGAAAAAGAAGTGTTCTCAACATGCTAATGCAATCCATGGTCGTCGTAAGGGCAAAAGGGGGCACAAGAATAAATAAACTCCATGTGTTTACGTTTTGGTCTCTTAATGTTAAATATATCAGAGGTATTCTTCTAAAATTGATTGATTAAAATAGTTATGAAAGAGAAAGGGAGTTGAAACTTCATCATAACACTCTTTTATCTCATCTACATGCTATGAAAGAAAAAGAGAGTGATAGATCAAAGCGAAAGTACTCCCATAAGATGAATCTCATAAGCATCTTCATCTTGTTTGTTCTACTAATTACAGTTTCACTATCTGCAGCAATTAGGTCTGATTCATTTAATACCTTATCATATAAATTGAAAAAGTAAAATCAAGACAACAATAAACCGAAAACCAAAACCATAACAAACACGGTGATAAGCACTGAAGAAAACGACAAGTTTTCCGTACAACACCTAAGTTCGAAATATCGTTGTTTGAAAATGAATGGGTAAATGAGATCGTAGGCAGTGGCTATGGAGCTAGTTTCAGAGGTCCTAAGGAAGTATACTCTAAAGGTTGTGTTATTAAACCCACAATTGTTTGTAAATATGAAAGCCCCTGTTATAACAAGAAGTTGATTTGCCATGCTAAGTGCTTCACTTATTATACTCGGTCAAGGAAAGGTTACGGCGGCGGTTGTGTTATTAAACCCACAATTGTTTGTACATTTGAAAGCCCCTGTTATAACAAGAACCTGATTTGCCATGCTAAGTGCTTCACTTATTATAGTCGGTCAAGGAAAGGTTACGGCGGCGGTGAAGAGCAAAACATTGAGAGTGGAGGAGGAAGAGGAAGAGGTGATTTTTTTTTAATTTTTTAATTGTCACGTAACACTTCCATTAAAAGGGAGTTTGTAACACCCCAACCCGTACCTGACCCGAATACGAGTCTGACATGTCACATTAACTTTTAAAAATGATATTCTTACAAAATATCAAAATATTTGAACTCAATTTAAGAAAATACCAAAATATTCTATTAAATTGTGTTTCAATATAAAAATTTAAGTCAAAAATGTATTTATGAACAGTAAAATAAGGTATGAACAATATCGTGAACAATAATGAACATTATCATGAACAATAGCGAATGTTAAAATTTTTCTAGATTGTTAGAGGGGTACCGATTCCCCTGCTACAGTACCTCGACAAAACATGTATAAAACTCGTAAAATTTAAAACGTTCATCATTATACATTTACCATTTACATATATACGTTTAAAACATTCCAAAACTCGATCAGAGCGTATCTAATACAAATCCTTTTTATTACATGCCAACTAAATTCTTTCTAACAAAATACATGTAATTCGATCTACATTTCTGATCTGATCTTCGGAAGGAGAACTGACTTGTCTTGTTACTCTTTACTTCTCTTTTCGCTTTCCAAACCTACGTATGAAACAATCACACGCTAAGTCGATGATTTAGTGAGGCATATAAAACATATAATATAACCATATACCATTTCATATAAACAAAAGGTATACATCTGCAAATACTATCATTAATCCCTTTTACTTGCCATATATTCATCATATAACACATATATCACTATACCAAGGAATAAACATATCATATATAGTGTATTTGTTATTATCTCATTTTAAATCATGTACAGATGTCACTAATTCTTTTTATCATATAAACATATACTAAACATTTCTATACAGATCATGGAACACATATATCATTAATTCTTATGATTTAACACCCTTATATATAACATATCATGCATTAACCAAGCAATACCCATTACATAAATCCTGTGATCTATTCCATATAACAAATCACATATACATATCATATTCAGTATACTTATTAAATTTCTTTATTATCCCATGTACACTATTGAGAACTGAAGGTATGTGAGTACATTGAGGTTGTGCACTAATGCTATCACCACAGCTCGTATAAGTCCCACTGAGTGGTATATGAAATTTGTCCCAAATAACCTATGTATATGTCCCGAAGGACCACTGTATATGTCCCGAAGGACCGCGTAGACCCTCGACTCTTGGCATGCCAACTATACCTATAGTTCTCGTATCATAGAACATGGGCATTTTTCTTTTGCTTCATATATTCATGTACTCATATCATTGCTCTTATGATCACATATCACATGTTCATATAATCACGTAGTTTACTTTCATGTAATTCATGTCACTTTTCATATGAATTCATATTCATGTGTCACATAGCTTGTATCACTTTGCATGGATTCACATAAACATATATATCATTTAATTCATGTCTTATTCTTATATCATATATATATATATATATATATCATCTATGTTTCATCACTTAATCTCATATCATATAACATGTATTCACATACACTATTTATACCAGTTCACATAGCTTATCACACTAACATGTATTCACACCATTAATGTAACATATGCAATAATATATATATCACATATACTCATGCCACATAAGTGTCATATCAATCACAAATCGAATAATAATTTAGGAGCCACTTCTTACCACAGTAACTCCGTCGTTGGCTCATTGCAAGCCAATGTTTGTTCAATAACCTAAGTACAAATTAAATTGCACTCACCTTAGCCTTGCTTTCTTTGACTTGATCCTAATTCTATTATTGTTTCGGAACTTGTTTAGGCTCAAAATCTACATAAATATAATTTTCAAAACAATTATCAGAAGCCTAAACTTTAAACTTGATGTTAATAACTTAAACTAGTTTAATGAACCAAAATTCCATTTTTTTTCTTTAGGGGGGAATCGATACCCCTCAGGGGGTATCTGTACCCTCTGCATATGCTGTAAAACTCAGAATTTTACTGTTTAAACCCGAAAATCATCAACTGTTCACTCAATTCTTCTATTTTAAGCCCCTATCATACCATTAAACTCAACTATCATTACTTAAACCAACTTATATCCATATAAACCATCTTTATCTTCCATATCTCATTATGATTCTTAAAATTAAGAATCATACCAAATTTTCCACATGTTCTAAATTCAATTCTAACACTTCATACTTCTTAATTTCACTTATGACAAGTCAAATTTAACTTTCATTTCTAATTATGAACTCTATTCCAAGATTTCATTAAAGAACTCAAAATCTTTAATCTTTTCTAACTCCTTGATCTTTTGATTTTAAGATAACTTAAGCTTTCCTTAAGCTTAGATATCATCTAATGATCAAAACCAATACTTAAAATCAACAAATAATCAAGAAATCAGAAAACTCACCTTTGCTTGGGGTGCTTCACGGTGGAGAAGAAGAAGATGAAGAAGAGAAGAGAGTTTTCCATTTCACACTCCCCCTCTACGTGTTTATCTCCTATTAAAGGGGAGAAAAATATATTTCCTTGTCAATTGACCATTTTGCCCTTTTATTCATTGGATAATTACTAACAACTTTCTGAAAATATTCCTAAATAAATCATTGAACTATTGAACTATTCTACTTTGATTGCCAAATTCTAAAACTTTATAATTTAGTCACTAACCCTTAATTTGGGATGTTACAGAGTTAACATATTGAATATATTGATAATTTAAGGGACCAAACATACATTTTTAAACTAGTGGCCAAAGTTAGTCAGACCGAAAACAACGGGAACTAATTGTATAGTTTACTCTTTTTTTATGTTACAAGAATTTTTTTGATTAAAATAATAAAATTTGTGAATTTAAGTATTAAATTAATTAGATTATCTAAAAATAGAGTTAAATTAACTGAGTATGTAACTATGGGAAGATCAAAAGTGTTGTTATACTAATTTACTTACATCAACACTTCTGGACAATTAATAAGTGATGACTTAATTAACACCAATTTAAAAGTTTAATGACCTTAATAAGAAATTTATTCAATAATCATAATAAATTTAATTTAATAATTTAGCGACTAATAAGTATTTAACTAAAAGATATAAATCCAGACACAATTAACAAAAAAAACGTTTGAAAATAAATTAATAAGATTTTATAAGTAGTTTAACTTAAGAATAAATTTTAAATCATTTCCCAACTTTTTTATCATCCATTCATTCATGTATTTTTTAACATTTTTATAATTCTTTTAATTTTTTATTAATTCTTTATGACAATTAATTATTTATGTTTCTTTTCAATTTTTCATGCAATTTTTTTTTATAAAAACCGTTTATATTTTTTTATTTCTTTAACGGTAGTAACTGACTTTTTCTATCGTATATTAATTCTAACTTTATCTGTGCGGCTGTGCATAAAGAATAGCTAAAAAATATATTTCAAATAAATTTTTATACGAAAGAAATAAGGAATAAATTTATATTATTTTAATTTTATTTTAACATGTACAATTTGTAGATCAAATAATTTTAAGTTCTTATTATAATTTTTACGAACCTAATACATTTAATACTTATCTTTTATTTATTAAATTGTTAAAATTAACTTATTTAACTTTTTCTCTAACTAAATTGATATTCAAAATATGATTTTTAATATTTTATTTTGAAGCAAATTTGATAAAAATATTTTCTGATTTGATTGATAACAAATTCGTATTTTCTTCAACAAATTGTTTTATAACATTAGCTAATGACGATCCTACAAAATTAACTAATAAATAATTATAAAGATAGTTTATTATCTTCCAATATTTTATTCCTAAATAATTTTTTCTGTTATAAAAGTAATCATATTCATATTTTTTAATATACTAAACAATTATTATTTGTTTATTAAAAATTTAAATTAGTTAGGATACATAATTATTAATAAATTCCCAATTAAAATAATTGAGAAGTCAATGATTTGTTTTATAAGTTTAAATTATGTTAAACTCTAGAATTAGACTAGATACGGATATTTACGCCTCAGTTCTCATGGTTATAAATATCCTTCCATCACACTTGAAAAATTCACCACTTCAGTGATTCTCTCTGAGTCAATTTTTTTCTGCGTTAAGGGATTTTGGGATTTGTTTCTTTTGTGAAAGAAGAAGATGGAACTAGATCTTTCTCCTAAGTTGGCTAAGATAGTGTACGGCGGGGATGGTGGAAGCTACTCTGCTTGGTGCCCCAATGAACTCCCAATGTTGCGTGAAGGCAACATCGGTGCCGCCAAGTTGGCCCTTGAAAAGAACGGATTTGCCCTTCCTCGGTATTCAGATTCATCGAAAGTTGCTTATGTTCTACAAGGTATTTGTTCTCTTTTTGGGTTTTGTTCATGCACTACGGAGGCATCTTTTTTATTGCTTTTCTTGTCATCTGATACATGATCGGAGTTGGGATATGATCAAACTCTTTCTGTGTTGTGTTGGGACTTGATTCGTCGCTGCAAATTTCATATGATCTTCATGTTTGAGATTTACTGTTTTGGGGTTTTTTATTTATCAAGATATATATTTTTCTTTAATCTGTAAGAGTTTTATTCTTTTTGATTTTATTTGTGTTGCTTTTATCAATCAGAGAAAGAACCATCTTTTATTCTCTAATTGGTCTCTTATACTGTAAAAGGAAAGCATCCGATCTGCATCCAAATCAATTCTTTGCTTTTAAGGTGCCAAAGTTGAATTATTGTTGATCAATCACTGCATGTGGTTTCTTTACCTTAATTGTATAGCTTAGTTTTGTTAAGTTTTGATTTAACTATCATTTTGCAATAAGTTTGAATTGTAATCTTCTTTCTCTATGTATGATCTCTTGATATAGGAACCGGTGTTGCTGGAATTATTCTCCCTGAATCTGAGGAGAAAGTAATAGCAATCAAGAAGGGTGATGCCATTGCTCTCCCTTTCGGTGTCATTAGCTGGTGGTACAACAAGGACGATTCTGAATTGGAGGTTCTCTTTATGGGAGATACCTCTAAAGGTCACAAGGCCGGCCAATTTACAGATTTCTTTTTGACTGGCGCTAATGGTATCTTCACTGGCTTCACAACCGATTTTGTCAAAAGAGCATGGGATGTGGATGATAATACTGCTAAGGCTCTCATCGGCAACCAACAAGGTAGAGGCATTGTCAAGCTTGATGCCAGCGTTAAGATGCCTGAACCGAAGCCTGATCACCGAAAAGGAATGGCTTTGAACTGCGAGGAAGCTCCTTTGGATACTGATATCAAGAACGCTGGAAATGTCGTGCTCTTGAATACAAAAAATCTTCCTTTGGTTGGTCAGGTGGGGCTTGGTGCTGATCTGGTTAGATTGGAAGGCAATGCAATGTGCTCCCCGGGGTTCTCTTGTGATTCAGCTTTGCAGGTAACCTATATTGTCAAGGGCAGCGGCCGTATCCAAGTTGTTGGTGTCGATGGAAAAAGGGTCTTGGAAACCATTGTGAAACCGGGTAACCTGTTGATTGTGCCGAGGTTCTTTGTTGTTTCAAAGATTGCAGATCCGGAGGGTTTGTCGTGGTTCTCGATCATCACCACTCCCAAGTATGCTACTCGTTGAGAGTTTAAATCCATTAATTAAACTTGTATATAACAGATTTGCCAATAGCTAGACATAACTTGTTTTGATTCACGTTTGCAGCCCTGTATTCACTCACTTGGCTGGAAGCATTGGGGCATGGAAGGCTATATCCCCTGAAGTTTTGCAGGCAGCTTTCAAGGTTCCGGCTGAGACGGAGAAGCTTTTCCGGTCCAAGAGAACCAATGATGCCATTTTCTTTCCACCGCCGAAATGAAGAATCAAATCTCTTAAGCTGTCGCTAGTTTTAGTTTTTTAAAATAAAAAAAAAATTGTTTTTAGGATGTTTAGCGAATAAACTATTTTTCTTTCGGTTTATGTTAGTGATGTAATATGAACGAATTAAAGGTTCTCATAATATTACTTTCTTTCTTCGCAAAATTTATTTTTCGTTTCTTTTTAACATTTAATTAGATGGGGTAATCATTCAAATTGAGAATAAAAATGTGTAAAAGCTGATGGTGTGAACGAATCCCTTTCTTCATACAGATGGGCAAAAGATGTTAGCCGCACTTAAAAGTCGAGTACTCCATAGTTGAGTTAGCAATCCAAAAAAATTAGAAAGAATACGTAGATACAATCCGATTAGAAAGAGTAAATTGCTCGAAGTAATTAAAATATAAAATTAACATAAATTAGAATAAAATAAAAAGACACGAAATTCTGAGATATAAAACATAACATAGAAATTTAATAAGTGGTTATCGTAATATCACCTAATTTTGCTATATTTATTTTCTACTTATGATGATTAAATTGATGACTAAATCCTTGAGGAAAAAAGGTTCATTACTGTTGAGTTATGAACACACTAAACTTCAAAAGCTTGTCGATGCCATCAGTGGTGTACTGGTTCGTGTGGTTAAGGGTCTCAACGACAGCAAACCCTTGTGCATTTCCATATTTTCCTGTTCCACCGACTATAGCTATCGGAGACTTGACCGCAGCTGTATGGTGCACCCCAAAGAAACTGACGGCGTCGTCTTTATCGTTATCATCTTCATCATGGAACATAGCAGTGAAGGCCATTGTATGACTGCTACCATCCGTTGAGCTTGCCAGATAAAATCCCTGTGCTTTACCGATTATGGAAGACCCGAATTCATTCCCTTGGGTCAGTTCATCATCGATCACGGTTATGGTTCCGAATAAGAGGTTCTGTGAAGTTGCTCCTTGAGTAACAACAGGGAGTGCTTTGCCATCTATGATTCCACTGCGTTTCTTGGAGAAAGGGATTCCTTTGACTTGTGGGGTATTGGCAACTATCCCGTTCACCACCCTTACTGATGGAGCTGAGCCACCGAATATGTCATGCATAAAGAATGACAGTGTGGGTTGATCACTTGTGCTAGGGGTTGCAGCCTGCACGGGATCTTCTAACGGCGCCGTGTGAGCTACGGGTGTCCGAACCGGGTTGATTGCCATTGTTTCAGACGGTGGAAGAGGTGGGAGTGTGTCATCTTCAGTGACGACTCTTGCTCCATTGGAATAATACTTCATGGTGATGGCTAAGAGCAAGAGGTACAATGTTCCCTTAATTCGTAGCTCTTTGGTCATTATAATTTGGTCAATGACAAGAATTGAAGCCTTTTTTTCTTAAGGAAACATGATTTTTGTAGGCTTTATATATATATATATAGTTGTTGATGGTGGATGAATGAGTTAAAACAATGGTGGAGCAGGGAAAATCGCGTTCGGAGTGGTTCAGAACATGTGTTTTTTCTCATTTGTAGGAAGTTTAAGCAAATGGAGTTGTTAAAATGTCTTAGGACTGGGTTTATAAAAGGTGAGTCAACTTTCCTTAACTGGTGTTTTGAATGGGCTAAATTAACGAGATAATATTGTTGGAAAAAAAATTTCACGAGATAAAGCGTTCCAACAATTAATTACTGAGATATGGTGAAATCTACAGTTCGAACATAAGTCGCCAGACGCTCCTGGCGACCAAGGAGGTCGCCATGCTGTCCCTGCGAGCTGTGGTGAGCTACTGCATTACCTATATCGGTAATTAAACTTTTATCCGAAATTCCAGTTTGGTCGCCGGGATCACATGACGACCTATAAGGTCGCCCGACATACATGGCGATTCCATTTTAACCTAGTTAAAAAGCTTAATTATCGATGTAGGTAATCGTTGTTACTTAGGAAAATTTAAATAATCGCATGAAAGCCTAATTACTGATGTAGGTAATATTTGTTACTTAGCCTCAACGTGTTAGGACGTACATGACACATGTAAAATCTCTTGTAGTTCGCCGAGAAGAAATGACGACCTAGTAAATTGCCCGGATGACATGACGACCTACGAAACAATTAATCTACGAAGTGTATTATCTCATGAATTAATATATTCAAAAACATTATCTCAAAAGTTTTATCTTTTGAATGTTGGGTTTATATAATGATTATATATATATATATATATTAAAACATGACGTGTAATATTTAAATAAAATAAAAAATCTTAATTACCCCACCATCCCTCTCCCACCTCACCCTCATATCCTCTTCCTCCGACCACCATCTTAATCACCCCTTTTAGAACCATCATCGTCTCAATCATCAAAAATAAAACAAGCTCAGCCACTAAACAGAGAGCCTCCTCATTTATAAGGCGCTGCAAATCAAACAACTTTGAAAGTGGAGTCTAAGAAAAGCAAGGGACGTTACAAATTTAACCGATCCAAGTTATCAAACCACTTTACTCTTCAGCCAAAAATAGAAGGAAAAAAAAAGATTATTGACAACTAACCCACTTCTGTTTTGTTAGATTTTCTCGATTTTTTAAAGATAATTGGTTCTTTAATGGGGTTTTAATGGCCATATCTTTGTCTTGAAGACTGGGTAACACCCAATTTACATTTTGATGCTTGGATTGGAATAGAAGGTTTAAGCAATTGGGAGTTCTCTCTTTTGTTCACTAATTTCGATGTTTATTCAAAAATGTCGTCTTTAGTTTCAAGGCAAATGCCTGCAAAATTAGGTGGGGGAAGATGGGATTTCACTCACTATTAGGATGTCCTTTACTTATTTCAGTTCAAAGATGAATGGACATTTTTCGATGGTCTGTAGTTGTTATAAAGACGACGGATTTGGGGTGATCTATGTTGAAGAAAGAAAATGGGAGGAGAGAAATGAGATAAATGGCGTGTTTCAGGTTTGGGGGAGAGACGAGGGGAGGAGGTGGAAGAAAAGGGAAAATAATAAAAAAAAAAGAATTTTTATTTTTATTTAGACTAAAATCACGTCGTTTTGATTTAAATTTGTGTTTTTTTAAGATTCAAAACTACATTGTTTTGTACAAATTGTTATGTCGTAATGTCGTTAATTATATAATGGCATAGTGATAAAAAGAATTTAATGTCTAAGGTTTAAAAAAATTAAAAGTACTGTTATTAAAATAGGAGAACGAGTAAAGTTAAGTGAATAAGTGTGTAATTTATACTGTTTATAATCATCCGAGACAATTAGGGATTTAATATTGGAGCTTTCTTAACTTTCTACGTCTAAGGGACACATACAAAGAGATAACCCGTCGATCATTGAGGTGATTCAGGCGGGAGAAACAACTAAAATTACAGGGGAAAATCAACGAGAGGATCGCACTTTAGGCGAAGAGGAACCAGCGGAGGAGAGAACATGGTCAAGATCATGAAGAGACACTATATGAGAAAGTGAATTCGATAGTATTGATTTGGGTAACAAATTCTATGCTGTGAAATTTTAGAGTACGACGAATAGAGTCAAAGTTCTAACAAAAGGTCCCTGAAAAATCATGGGTCATTACCTAACAGTTCACAGGTGGAGGTAGAACTTCTTCGTGGAAAAGGCTAACATACCTTCTACAGCCGTCTGGATTCATTTCCCAGGTCTTCACATCGAATATTTTGATGAAGGTATACTGGTAAACATCGAAAAATTGGTGGGTACACTTCTGGAAGTGGACTATCATACGGCTTGGTCAACAAGAAATAAATTCGCTAGAATCTGTGTGAAAATGGATTTGAATAAACCTATGTTATCAAAAACCAAAATTGGTAAGATTACTTTCATCATAGAATGTGAAGGCTTCCACTATGGGATGGTAGGAATTAAATCTAATCAGTCCCCCATTAAACATTTTGACAATTTGCAAAAAATAAATGGAACAAGAGACACAACCAACTCCAGAGCTACAAGAAAGCCAAGATAAAGAAGAGCGAAAAGAACAACAAAAAAATAGAACCAATGACAAAGAAACCAACAATGAAAGGAAATTTGGATCCTGGATGCTGGTTCAAAGACCACAAAAAGGTACAAAAACAAATAACAAATTCCAAAATAGTCATAATCAGGAACATCGGAACGGAAATCGTTTCAAGGCTTTAACAGAAGAAACAACAATGAAACAAACAAAACATAAGTCGCCAAGGAAAATCTCTAGGTTATAGAGAAAGTTTCAACCCCGAGCAACAATCCGATGGAAAATGAAGAAAATAGACAGGAATTCAGAAATTCTCAGACAAAAGACAAAGGCAAAAAGAAAATATCAGCTCCTCGAAAACAAAATAAGCAAGGGAACAGTTCGAGGACCTTTTGATGACCTCAAACTCTCATAAGACACATACAGAAAAACAGAATCTCCAAAATGTCGAGAATGAAAGATTCTATTAAACTTGTGAAACTGGATACAAATCACATGGAAATCGAAAGATAAGATAATAGTATGAAGAATAGGATCAAGAAACCCAACATATGGAGGAAATGTGCGTGGATACTTGAATACACGAGATTACAATAGAAACTGGCTGCTCAACAAATTCAGACCCTCACAATGGGAGTAACAATAATGGTATTCAAGTATTACAAAATAGTAGTACGCCTGACTGCCGGGAAAATTATCGTGTAAACCAAATAAATTACGAAGTTGATCTCTTGGAATTGTACAGGTGTGGGAAACAGTGATTTCATTAGAAATTGTAAAAAAATTGCCTACGAGGAAAAACTAGATTTTATCAGCATGTTGAAAACTAGAACATCTGTTGGGACTGGGAAATTATTACAGAAGAAACTTCGATTCAAAAATCAGTTCGAAGTCCCCGCTTAGGGCAGGCTAGGAGGAATCATCTTACTTTGTAATTCAAAAAAGTTAAGTGTCAGAATTAGATACAACACCGATCAAGTCATCCTCTATGAGTTGAAAGATGGGGAGAAAAATTGGATTACTTTGTCTATGTTTAACTAAGTATTAACAAAAACATGAGTTTTGGATTGACATAGGTATATACTCAGACAATGTGGATAAACTGTGGATCGTTATCGGAGATTTCAATAATATCGTTTTGAACGAGGAATGGGAAAGAAGCAATTCAGACTATAATGATCGAATTATTAAGTTCAGGGAACGTTGGGATAGATGCAGCTTAATGGATGCGAGTTGGGCAGTGACAAGCGTAGTTTTACTCGTTAAAAATAAAATAAATAAGTAGTATAAGGAAGAGAGTAAATCCACAGGGAAAATTTAGAATTCTGCACGAATAAGGATTGACTTTAGTTCAAGGAACAAGTAAAAATAAAAAAGAGGGGAAGTAGGCGTTGATGAGGAATAATGAAGTAAATAAAAGAAGACAAGTAAATGAGTGAAATAAAGGGGGAAATAATATGGAAACAAGTGTAGAAATCACAAATAGGAAATTCGCCTCGAGCTAGCTTGTCTCAATTCCTCCGATCATTAAAATGGATTTTTGCTTGAGGATTCATGTCAGTTACAATCTACAAGGCCCAACCCATTGTAACTTGTATTTCTCTCATGTAACCGATCTTCCCAAGTCTATCTTCGAAAGATGATTCTTAAGTGAATTAACCACAACTATTGTTGTTAAAACAATTAGATTTAAAAGAACTGGAAAGGCCCAACTCGGATGTTGTCTCGTCGAGAATCGATGCCGATCTCGTTTTCCCTTTGCGGATCGCCGCTTAGCATGTTCACAAGAAGTTGAATTGTCACAGGCCAATCCTTCCTCCCAACGATATATTTAAACAACATTCTGACCAACGTCAACTTTTTGATTTGAAAGCATTTAAAAATTGTAAGTAAGGTCGATTGCCAAACATTCCAGAAAAACGAGAATGTATCCCAGAGGGACTTAAGCGATGTTCAATGCTCACGCATGAAATTGATTAGTACTAGCTCTCGGCTTAAAAGAAATTAGCCAAACATGATATGATTGATCATACTTAGCATGTTTTGAAAAATAATTAAAAAGCACAAAGTAAAAGAAAGAAAAAATGGAAAAAAAGAAAAATTTTATTAAAATGAAAGCAAAGTAGCAAAAACAAAGCTAAAGAAGAAGACGATGCCCCTAAGCCTTAACTAAAGCCTTAACTAAAGGAGGATATTTATAGGCTTCTAAATCCTTAGGTTACAAGAAAATTAAAGCAAATTAAAAGATAATTCCTTAAGGTATGAAAATTAAATCCAAAATTCCTAGAAAGCCTCCACAAATCGTGTTGAGTTGTTTCCAGAATATTCCATACGTTGACTCGGACCTTTAGGAAACTGTCACTTCAAACTTGTG